AGAGAGAGAGAGAGAGAGAGAGAGAGAGAGAGAGAGAGAGAGAGAGAGAGAAATATGTCAAGTGCTTCCAACAGTTGAAGTTGAAAAATAATGAAAATCCTACCACGCGGGTCTGAAGTGAATAGCATCAAATTTCAACAATTATCCATCGAAATAGAAGGACAAAACCACTCAACATACCAAATCTACACTGGGTATTTTGCGGGAGTAAACTCTCATTTTCCCTCTGAAAGTCTTGCTTATGATGCTGCTGTTCATTTTCTTGGTTCCATTCATTGCTGAATGCATAGCATTAAGGAACCAAGAGAGAAAATCTATTGGGTCACCTGTAATAAAACAATAAACATTTCAAATCAAATCAGATCATACAGTCAAACCTGGCCAAGAGAAAACGGTCATTTTAGACAGGTGGTCCTCTTGAACAGTGTCATTACAATACAAGAAAAAACACGAGCAATTGATTTTTTATACAGGTAACTGTGTTGGAAAGGAGGTTGTTAGAGAAGGCTTGACAGTATGTTACAAAGCACCACACAGCGCCGAAAACTGGCCGAAATCATGCCTCTTAGTTTCCCAGGCCAGCGACATCTGGAAGTCATTAAATAATCGTCGGAACCGCTTCGTGCCAGGTTACGTGGAGGTCACTGGCCGCTCCCTTGTGCATTCGTTGCAGGGGGCAGGTCATGGCGTAATCGACACTTTTGACACTAATTATCGGCAGTATCCTCACTCTAACCACGAATTATTCCATACAAAAAGAAAAGAGCAAGATTCCCCCTCTCAGTCTGCGAAAACCCAATCTCAATGTGACGATATTTGTCAATGTTACAGGGTGTGCAAAATGTTCTGAGTTTCATCGAATTTAATCTGTGCATGCTGCACTTAATTCACTTTTAATTTCCAAAGTACCCTCTCAATCTCAACAAATTTTGGTACATGCACTGATGACATATTTGTGCTTTATGTGTACAATTTTCATCATTGTTGGAAGAACAGTTATTGCAACATTAAGTCGCTTACATCTGATTCTAATCCAGTGCCTTGCTATTTGGCCCATGAAACTGTGTATTCTGGATTCTATGCTGTTTTAAGTTCAACAGTTCTCTGTTAATTTCATAGATTGTTGTTTCCATGAAAGGTAGACATATTTGTGCTTAATGTGTATAAATTTCATCTTTGTTGATTGAGCTGTATTACGATATTAGATAGAATCCATTTGCCCGTGATTCATTTCTAACAGGATTACTGAAATCTCCGAATAGAACACACACATGAGAGACATTCCTCTTCCCTGAATGAACTTTGTCGCGTTTGCGAGTGTAGAACCTGACTAAAGTACAACAAAGGCTGAAAAGAAAGGCTAGGACGTGTGACTCACTGCAGTGATATTTTATGAATTTATGATATTGACATTAGAGAAGACACAGATGACAAATACTCGAAGTTTATTTGCCACAAATGCCACATGAGGATCTATGATACTAAGAAGAATACCACCCCATCCACCCTTAAAAAAGCGCGAGATCTGGTCAGAAACAGCCAACACATGAATTAAGGACAAAATTACACAACAAAACAAGAAATACAGGAAAAGATCCACTTTGCTAGGACATGCGCTGCCATGAATAACAAACAAGAAGAGAAGGGAACGTTTAGGACAGAGACAAGGCGGCTGCGGCACACCCTGTCTGAACTTGATCGCGTTGAGCTGTCCCCCCAATCTGGACCAGTGGCTTCAAACCTTGACACTATTCTCACTAAACACCACATTACGCCACAACTTACCACAGTCAATCATTCATTGGCAATCATTGCCACAAATACCTCAATCCAAAGATGTACAGACATCTCACTCAGTAAAAAAGAAACAGAGCAGACACAGATGTACACGTATCATCCAATCATTGTTGCCAAAGCACACACTATAGGTTTGATTTTCAACTCTCTCAACCAAGCATACAGTCAAATTCATGACATCTCACACAGGGCACCTATTCCGAAAACCTCTATCCCAGCAATTCAGACAGCAATAGACACATACATGAAGCTGTACAGAACACATTTTTCAAAAAAGATAATCCCCAAACAGCACATTTTAGAGCACACTGTATTCCATTTATAACACAACACGGCTTTGGCTTGGGCCTGCTGGGAGAACAAGGAACCGAAAGCTGTCACCAGTCTATTTCAAAAATTGAGAAGCGGGCTCAAGGCATCGTGGACAATACGGAAAAACTATGATATGTTATGAACGCACATTTGAACCAGACAGCACCTTCACTGCTCAATGAGGCTGCAGGCACAGAGAGAAGAACCACGGCGCCATAGATAACCGTATAGATCTACTGTACAAAATGTGTAAATAGATATGTGTCATTTGATGAGAGATACTCTAATGTGAATTTCATCACAAGCCCAACGAATTTGGCTGTTGAACGAAAATGAAAAAAAATGAGGATTACTAATCTTCCAACAATGATGTCCTTTGGTAAGTAAATACCCACACCAATTGTCTTTATTCTGAGCGAGTTTTAGTGTATTTCATCCTGCACTTTTGTTGTTACATAACTTTTGATTCAGTGTATATTACCTTAATTACCAGATATAAGACGGCTGTATTTGATCACATGCAGTTACAAAACTGTACTAGATATCTTCGTTGCGTTTTCACAAACAGTACATTGAAAGTAGAAACTCAAAGATGAAACACTATGTGTATATTGATAGCCCTGCTTTCATTCGTGAGCGTTAAAACAAAACAGTGTAATATAGGCGTGGTATGTAACCCCGCACATGGAGTGAGCACAGGTAGACTGACCGGCAGCTGACCCCAGTCACTCTGACCTAGCAGTGTACAGCCTGGTGAAACTAAACGACCGCTGATTCGGCGCTGTGACCAGCTTAAAACAGTAGAACAGGACAAGCATTGCAAAAACAACTGACAAATGATATCAAAATAGCTTACAGCATTTTAAGGTCAATGACATCTAATTGAAATTCCTAGAAGGGCTGTTCTGCCTATGCCAAGATGAAGTTGTTACTTATGAAACAAGTCCAAAGCCATTGATCCCAGGCTCCTGGATCTGATGCGGAGACTACTGTATTCCCTTCCATTATTGGAATATCTTTTAAAACATTTTTTAAAAAAGAATCCACATTGAAACTTTTACATCATGTGCACCATGTAACTTGTGAAGGTGAACTGGGGTACACTGAAGTCCCATCACACAATGTTACTGCACCCTTCAAGAATGATGAAACAGCTGTTACAAAGAGGCCAGCTACAGCACACTTCAACAGCTTGCACAACATAGACAGCATACCTTGCTCAGTAATTTGAAACTTTTTCTTGGAGCACAGAACCACAGCCTGCAACATTTCATGGGGGCTGACGTGAGCTTTAAAATTGCATGGATTCCACAACTTTCGAATCAGCTCCCCAAACCTTTGAACCAGAAGAAAAGCTTGGTCACCAGGAGGACGCTTAATCTTGTAGTAATTCTCTTCTCTCAGGAAATAGTTCCTCAATGGTGCAACATGACTCAAAGACTGGAAAAGAAGAACATTCATGTACTGCAACATTTTTATTTCTTTGAAACTCCACTCAATCTATTTCAAAATTTCAACTTACAAATCTTATAAACCATATGTGTCACGACGCAGTGGAAACAGGCCTTCCTCAAGCGTTGGGCATTTTGAGTTATTGGAATCATCTAAAAGCTTATTCATTTGCCTTGCTTTCAATGAAAAAAATTACCCATCTATCTTGAATAGAAGTTGAGATACTTGCGATTGAAGAAGGTGATTTCAGTGGAAAAATAAGCAAAGAAACGGCCACCAAAGTACAGTAACTTCAATAGCAAGAGAATCTTAGAGAACTGAAAAATTACATGTTTTGTGCCTTAATCAACGTTTTTCAGTAAAATTCCCATGTAATTGTGTTTTTATATGGACATAAAAGGTGTTGAACCAAAAAACAAAAATTCTATAAAAATTGCTTGTTTCTTGGATTTTATTATTTTGACGAGCCCCTGATTTCACAATACATTCATATTTTGAGCTTCATGTTCATTCTATTGCTTTATATGGCAGTCTGTAATAAAATTCTGGTGATCACAACAATTTACTAAACAACATTAATTAAATAACCACAGTAAAAGCCAAACTAACTTCACAATTTTCTAGAGGAGACCATTCATTTTTCACAACACAGTAACTAATCGGTATCCCTTGTGTACTTTTTACATTATAATTATGATGAGACTGTGTAAGACTTCCACCTGTCTTAGACAACCACTTTTCTCTTCGACAATGAGTGGCCGCCTTACACAATTTTGACTGTACTTATCATATTCTCCACAAACGTTTGTGTATACGTAAGTGAAAGTGAACAAGAAAGAAACTGAAATAATTGATAGAAAAGATGAACGGCCGAATACACACACATCTGGTTCAGAAGTCAAAATGTTACTTGACTTAGTTTTAGTTTTAGTAAGAGTTTTAAGGCACTTGCAACACAATAAGGTCATATATGTGCCGAAGATTAGAGGTATTACTAGAGAGTTACAAACACAAACTAGAAGGAGGGAAGATAAGGACGATAGAAATGTGATAGGAAAGAAGGAGCAAACCACACCAAAGCACCCACCAACCACCCACTGTTTCTTGACTTATATATATTACAAACACTTCACCAGTAGTTAACAACATGACTCTCATCCACAGACCACAATGATGAAAACGTATTGAAAACTTTATTTCTATAAATATTTTACTTTATAAAAATATAAAATATAATCATTTTTGGAACATTTGTGTCCCAACAAAGGTGTAGTAATGAAGTAATACTGAAAAAAAGTTTGACTTGAGTGTAATTAAAAACAAAATCAACTGCATACTACAAGTTTCTTGAGTTCAATTTTTAAAAAGAAGAGTTCAATGCAATGGGGGGGGGGGGGGGGGGGGGGGGGGGGGGAAAGGTCACAAACTGCACAGCAATGATTGATGTCTCCTTTCACTTCGCGTGTTTTGTCTTGCCAAGCTGACTTGCAGGTCTTAAATCTTATTTGTGACAATTGCCACCTTAATCAAAGCCACTCATAATTCCTGCTCTCGTACTCTAGGATCACGATCTAAAGGTATCTTTCTTTTTCTGTTTATATTGTATGTTTAATCTTAAATCTTATTTGTGACAATTGCCACCTTAATCAAAGCCACTCATAATTCCTGCTCTCGTACTCTAGGATCACGATCTAAAGGTATCTTTCTTTTTCTGTTTATATTGTATGTTTAATCTTAAATCTTATTTGTGACAATTGCCACCGTATTCAAAGCCACTCATAATTCCTGCTCTCGTACTCTAGGATCACGATCTAAAGGTATCTTTCTTTTTCTGTTTAAATTGTATGTTTAACTCTAGTACTAGACCTAGATCTAGCACAACCCGTTGGTTCCCCGTAGGCAATTGCCAGTACTCATACTTGGTCCTGGGGTTTCAAATTCTAAATGTTTATTCTCAGTTAATTCATTACTATGAACTCTGAATTTACATCAGAAAAGCAGTCTTCGATATCCTTGCATAAATTAAACGCTATAATTGTCCAAATATCTCAAAATAAGAGTATAACGAACGCAGACCTATTGACTGCAGCGTCAGAAGGAAATTATGGGTTGGTAGAGGTGTGTTACAAAAAAAAAATAATGAAATTTTGATCAACAGAAAGTAATTGATTCTTGCTGTGGCATTTCTCACAACTTACCCAAAGAATTGAAAGCGTTTTTGCGCTTTTAGAATTGGTCCCACAAGGGGAGCAGGATTGGACACAGGTGCTCACCCGAGCCTCCCACAACAGGTGTGGGTAAAGATTAAAGTGAGTCAAAATTCATTTAATTAATATCAACTAGGACCACTCTTTTACCTGCAGCACTACATTGCAATAGTCATTTGCCTTGATGTTATTGAGTCCAACGATTCCTGTGAAAGAAAAGGGGGGGAAAAAACAAGAAGGCTTATCACAATAAACGCACATTTATGATATGATATAATATGTAGATTACAATGAGTAACTCATAATGAGCAACTTACTTTTATATGATATATATTGTGTGGTTGAGGAAAGAAAAAAATTACTATCGTCCACAAGTTTTAAGTTTTTTAGTTTTAATAAGGTTTTACTACTTTTACAGCACTCGCAACTGCATGAGGTCATATCGTCGACTGAATCACGTAGTATCGTAAACGACAAAAATGGTGTTTTGAGCTACGATGGTTTAAAGCTTTGTGCAATTTTTCAAATCTTGTTGCGAATGAACAGAACATAATATCTTATTGATTTTTGGTTTGTTTGTAGACTTTATGCCATATTTTCCGTCACTGCTTCAGAAAATCAATTTAAATGCTTACTTAGAGAAAAAATGACAATTTTTGTCACTTACATCAGTATGTGAATGCAGAGTATATAGCGGTACAGTCCCTCACGCTACACAATATGGTGCTTACGATAGTTCTTAAAAAACAATAAAATTACAGTTACGTTATTATATTTTGAAAGAAAAAAAAGCTTGGTGAGGCATTTTACAGGTATTTACAGGTGCTTGAGTTTCACAAATGGATGAATCAGTAATACAAACAGCTTTGCAACTTTGAAAATACATTGAATCGGCAAAACACCAACATAGACCGGGAGAAAGTTTATGATTTAAGCGCGTCACTTTGTAAGTTTGCGAGGGGGGGTGTGAGGAGAGAGAGAGAGAGAGAGAGAGAGAGACAGAGAGAGAGAGAGAGAGAGAGAGAGAGAGAGAGAGAGAGAGAGAGAGAGAGAGAGAAAGTTTACGTGCAATGGTCATGAAAATCTATAATTCAACGCAGCAATCACGTAGATTAATAGTGCAATTCCTGCTACTTACGTTAGTACGTGACTTAACAACGTGAGCATACAAGTTTACAAATGATGGAAGAGACGGTCCACGTACTACTGTATTGTCCCTTGCGTTAGTAGGCGATTCTGAACTATATTCAAGAGGAAGCATACAATATCTCACAAACCACGTGTATCTCGGTGACTATTAAAGGCATCGAATTCAGATTTTAACAGAATTTAGAATGTAAAAATTCTAATGGGGTCATATAATAGACCCGATTTCAGGGGATATATCAGTTACGATAGTACGTGATTCTGCCAACGATATGAGCGCCAAAGGGTGGATGTCAACGGAGAAGTCAAATTGGGGAATCAGGCTTTCTCTGCTCACCTCTCTAACCTCAACAGCACAAAGTCTGCTTCGACTATCAAGGCACTCCGGAAAGAGCAGTTCACAAGAGAGTGACAAACATACAAAAGAAGTAGAGGAGAAATGACGATAGTAAGGATGAGGAAAGAAAAAGTAGCAGTTCCCCCATGTTTTTCCTGCACAGTATGAGCATGACATTGATAAATCAGCACTTTTACAGTTCTACTGCGCATAAGAACATGTTAATATCCCCCCTTGGGAGTCTTTAAGTTAATCACTTGGGTAGTGCACTTAGGTGCATATGAGCGCAAGTATTTTCAGTAACCAAGACAAGTATGCTTGTATACGAAATATGCCCTGTTTTCAGTTAATGTTCCTCCACCCTACTGATACTCTCATATCAGAACCAACACACAAAACAAAATATCCAATTTTTAAAAAAAGAAATTCTCGAGAAAAGACTCATTTTTTAAAGCAGGAGTTGGAGCTGAAGAAAATTACATTGATGTAACCATGATTACACAGTGATAACAATGACCTGGCAACTGATTTTTAAAAAAAAAAGAATGTATGATTCATAAATGGCATCTTCTGTGAGGCAAAATAATTCATTAAAAACTGCAACTTTTTGAGTGAGGAAATAATACTCACCAGGCAAATATGTTGTTCCATCATAAGCACGAGAGAGTTTGGGATTTCTGTCCAATTTTCGAATCATGATGTCACTAAATGTAGGATTCAGAACATACTGAAACAGACAAACCCAAGTTGTATTTTGTTGCCAATATTACGCCTTTACACTACAATTTTTCATTTCAGCTGTTACACAGGGTTTGTGAAAAAAAATTATATGAACAAAACACTTGAAAGTAATCATTACTTGAGTTACAAAATTCCATTTAAAATACTGTTGACGTAGAATCTAGATAAACTCCCAGAATATGTATTTCTGTCACCTCACAACATTACAAATAAATCACGGCTGTTCAGTTCTACTATCCTTGCAGAGCACTCAGTTTAACCTATCGGCTGTCATCCCAGGGTCATAAATCCTACCTGACAGTCGGGCTGTGCATCGCTTCCTGTTCGATAGTACTGTTAGCCAATTTCGGGTAGAAGTATGTAATTTTCTCATGATTTCAACCCCTGTAAATATCCTCTCTATCTATCACTATGGGTGTGTGACATATCAAAAGAAAGCCCAGACTCTCCTCAATAACCCGCATCCTTTAGTTTATTTCTAGGTCTGAGCATGTACATTCACTACCTCTGTACTTAACCCTACCTAGTGGCACACGTATTTCTCGAATTGCTACAAAGGTCAGGATTTTATTCCTTTCTTGAAACGCAGATTGTTATCCTTTTTTATCTGCCGTATCATGTGTCAGTAAGGAGGTTACTTGTGAAAAAATTGTTTAGATTCAACAGAAAACTTTGGCAGGACGGCGAGTTTTGTTACTTCACCCTGTGATATTTTCCCCTACAAGTTCCCCATTTCTGAATGAATCAAACCAAAAGTAAGTGTTTCAGGGTGGCCAGGGAAATCTTCCTCCTAAAAATCCTACCACACCAAAAAAAATCCTACCACTATACTTTTAGTCAAGTTGTACCTTGCCATTGTCAGTGTCACGGCTCTCGTCAAAGAGAATCACATAGAAGGGGCTATTTCGTACACATCTTAGGATAGTGGACTTGATCACCACTGCGATTCCAAATGTTCCAAGGTAGCCAAGTTTTGTGCGACAACACTGAAAACGCAGCCATTTTAGAGTCTGAAAACATCTCATGAATGAGAAAACTCTTGTCCACAACTGCTCTAGTTGATTACTATTATATTACTGTTGGTGCTCCTTTCAGTATCTCTCACAACACTTGTTCTGTTCTTGGCAAACCTAAGAATAGATTTGGCACCACACTGGCTGGTTCGGGCTTTCATGTGTTTTTGAGGTACCATGTGAGAGTTCAAAGCCTTTGCACCTGAATGACGGATAACAAACACCTGGGAACAAATCTTACATCTAAACTTGCTTTTATCATTTGGATACTCCATCAATCATTCTGAATACTTAGGGTTGGATTACCACTCAGTGTTAATGAAGTAGCACTTTCCCATGATACTGGATCTAGTCTAGATCTCTCTCTAATTATAGTCTACACATATAGTCACAAAAATGGAAAGAAAAAAAAGTAGAGGATTGATGGCACTTGGCATACTGAAACCCCTAGCCTGGGTTTCAGTATGCCAAGTGCCATCAATCCTCTACTCTTCAAAGACTATCTTGCTGAGTTGCTGAGTTTTTCCATGGTCATGGACAAAGAATATAGATGCTGTCACTTTCATGAACCAACTTAGTAAGCTATATATTATATCCCTCTCTCTATACTTAGTTCAATAACACGGCTTACAAGGTATGACGGATCCCAATTTCACACAAGGCCTGCACGAACACGCGCTATGTAGAAAGCTCTCGTTGCAATCAAAATTCTAAAAGCTAATGCTAAAATTTGCTAGCAAGCTCATGTTTTATCCCCTGGGGTTGACTTTGACACCCCCCCCCCCCCCCCACGGAGTGTATCTTAACAGAAAAATCAATAATGCTGCCATTCCAAAGTCCTATACTTCGCAGGACTCAGACTTAGAATGAACTTTGGCGACCCCAACATTCATGGTACTCACTCGACGTATTATCACGCATGACATACAAACGCACAGGTTCAATGACCGGTCACGACGGCGAGCCCAACAAGCCGCTTGTATAACTTTCTTTTCTTTTTACACAAGTGACAAATATTGATTTATTTTCATGGCGACACAGCCTTTGTAATGCACAAACTGCATGTTACAATGTTGTGTTATCAGACTATTACCGGCAAATTTCAGGGTGGTAGAGAAAGCGAAAGTAGATCTAGATTTTCTCAATCGAGCCTCAGTATCACTCATACACTTCGGCTTGCCGCCATAGCCACCTGGTCACGTGAAATATACTCTCAGACCGGTAAAAGCCGAGTGATCGCAACCGACAAAAAGAACTTAGGGACATTATCGGATTTGATTTTCAAATATTCGAGAACTTTTATGTATCTTCCCGGGTCTTTCCCGAGGCAACATACAGATTTCCTCAAATTTCCTTTTATTGCAGACGTTAATCCAACCATTTCAGTCGTTAAAAAAAATTTTACGACAAAAATCCAAGTTATCCGACCTAAACATAAGTTTCCGATCAATTTCCAACTTTCCTGGCCACCCTGTGTTTCTGAAAGCTCATCATGTCACTGTTGTATACCATGGATTATTTTAAAGATCTAGTGTACACTTTAAAATATCATAAATTTAAAAAGAAGACCCACATAAAATTTTTCCCAATAGATGCCCTTAGATGAGCCCATGTTTTAAAGAGTGCCCTGTTATCAATAAAAAGTTATTTGCTGTACAGTCCAAGAATGCCTCTATCTGTTGATAATAATTTCACATTGATTTGTTTATGGGAAAAGCCACACGTTGAAGCAATTTAACTGTATAAAAATTGTTAAGTCACAACAGTTCACTCGTAGAGCAAAGGTCAAAGTGACCTCCATGACCACCCGGGCTTAACATGATTGACCGGGTCAGTTCCTCAAATAACTAAGTGCTCCGCTCGGGAACAGCCGTGAAATAATATTACTAATTCAGAAAATACTTTTTTTTCCACATGAAAAATAGAACTCTTACAATTATGTCATCCAGTGAGGAGTCAATGATCTGATAGTTGTCTGGGAGGCAGTAAAACTTTTGTGTCTGTAGATTGAGAAAAACGTGGTGTCCTTCAAACACGCTGTGAGTGTAGGCATGAGTATTGTTTCCACGACCTGAAAAGATACAAATATAACTAAATAAAGAACTTGAAATGCAAATTTATAGAACATCACTTATAATCATTCAATATTTTTAATTTAACAATATGTATAGACTCAGCTTATCAAAAGTCTGGAAGGCAAGCAACATCTCACTGCACACCAAGATTCGACTCTTTAATTCCAACGCCAAGTCTGTGCTCCTCTACGGCTGCGAAACTTGGAAGACAAAAAAGATTGTACTGAATAAAGTCCAGACTTTCATCAGCAGATGTATGAGGAGTATTCTAAGTATTAAGTGGCAGGATAGAATAAGAAATGAAGAGCTGTGGGAAAGGACAGGACAAAAGTGTATAGAAGTAGAAATAGGATTACGAAAGTGGAGATGGATGGGACACACCTTAAGAAAGCCCAGCGGAAACATCACAAGACAGTCACTGCAGTGGAACCCACAAGGAGCACGAGGCAGGGGTAAGCCACAGGAAACATGGAGGAGATGCAAAGAAAGGGACATGAGAGAAATGAAGCTCACTTGGAACAAGCTTGGAAGGATAGCCCAGGACAGAGATAAATGGAATATGCTTGTATGTGGCCTATACCCTGCCAGGGGTGAATGGCATTGATGATGATAGACTCAGCTAGAAATATGATATCACTACATCAATTACCAGGCACTAAAGAATAGAATGAGTTTCAAGGGATAAAGTTCAAAGGGAGTGAGAATTCTAGTAAAGCTTCAAAAAACGTGCGGAAGTAGAACCTTCAAGTAAAACACTGATGGTTAACGCACCTCACAGTTTTTGGGTTTTGACCAGAGAATCCAAACAAATTTTTAGAAGGTCCATTTCAATAAGCTTCATAAATCTATTTAACGGCTATTAGTGTACTTTGACTTGAAACTATATAATTAATGTCAAAATTGTCCAAGACAGCCACCCATTGTCGAGAAAAAAAGTCTTGGATAGAAACATTATAATGATTTTAAAAAACCAAGAAGGAAATGGGAAGTGACCGTTTGTACAGGTCATTGTCTTGGACAAGTGGCGGTTAGAGCAGGATGGATAGTATATGTGCAATGTGTCTCATTCACACATGCTGATTTACTTACTGCCTAAATAAATACACACTAGTTTCCGCCCCTTGCAGCTCTGTGAGGTTGTGCAAGAGGCAAAATATTTGGGAATGAGACACAAACAAAACATAATGTGAAAAGCATTTTCACTGCAGTAATTGAACATCTTTACACATTTTGAATATTGACAATGTATCCTGCAATGCAAGCTTAACAAGAACCATACACTGGTAAATGAGCCTTTACCTTGGAAGTATTTTCCACAAACCAAACAGGCATACACATTGATGTGCGAGAGGGATACTGAGCACAATTTCTCAAAGTCAAAATCCAAAACAGATCTGTTGAGCAAAGGAGATGGGCGAAAGGAAAAATTAGCAAAGGCAGGAATCCACAGAAATATATCTAAGTATTCTAAACAATATGTATCTAGAAGATATGGTACAAGGGCTATTTGAAAAGTAAGGCAAAAATAGTCATATATATGTCTAAAACAATCATCACATCAGGTGTCAGATCTAAAACAGACTTTAGCAATCACGGTATGCCACACATTTCTCAGCTTATATGCTGTCAAAAACAGTAATACTGTTTTTACAATCTACAAAAAGTGCACTGACAGCAATGAACTCTACTCGTTACTTGAGTACTACTTGTAACACAAGATATAATATGATTGTGTCATGACGTGGTGGAATCAGGTGCTGGTCAATTTTAAGGCATATGGAGTTATTGGTATCACCTTGCTTGCGATGAAAAAAATGTCCATTGGTGAGGCAGCGTGGTGGAATCAGGCTCTCGTCAATTTTTGGGCATGTAGAGTTATTGGTATCATCTTAAAGCTTGTTCAGTTGTCTTTATTTGAATGAAAAAAATATCCATTTATCTTGAATACAAGTCGAGATATTTGCAAATGAAAGAGGTGGGGGTCACCTACTTTCAGAGGTAAAATTAGTGAGAAAATGGCTGCCAAAGATTAGTTATTTCCTTAGCTTAAGAGTCCGTGGTACCTGAAAATTTACTTTTTTGTGCCTTTAATCTACCTTTTTCAGAAAAATCCACACAAAAATGAGTTCTTTAATGGGCATGAAAGGTTAGAGCCAAAAAACAAAAATTTGATGAAAATTCACAAACCTGTGGAACAATGCAAGTTTCTTCACTTTTATAATTTTGACGAGAGCCTGATTCCACCACGCTGCCTCACATTTATCTTGGATGTAAGTCCAGATATTGACAATTGAAGGAAGTGGGGGTCGCATGACTTCAGAGGTAAAATTAGCGAGAAAATGGCCGCCAAAGTTGAGTTATTTCCTTAACTTGAGAGATAGCGGAAACTGAAAATTTACATCTTTTATGCCTTTAATCAACGTTTTTCAGTACAACCAACACAGAAATTAGTTTTTTAATGGGCATGAAAGGAGTTGAGCCAAAAAACAAAAACTCAATTAAAATTCTCAAACCTGCGGAAAAATGCCAGTTTCTTGACTTTCATTATTTTGACGAGCACCTGATTTCACCAGCTGCCTCACATATGCATTTTTACAGATGTGACCATTTTTTCCTCTAAGTAGGACTCCTTGCCTTCAGGCGGCCACATTCCGATTTCGAAGGTATTCTAAATGTTTTTATACTGACTAATGTACTGATCGGGTTATGGCCAAAGCCTACTCTTATCAATTTTATTTTAGAACCATCAAGGGATCTTTAACGTGAGCAACTTACACAGAGATTTTTTCACCCTTATCCGAGAAGGGTTCATATTAGATCTTACTTACCCTAAGATCAGGAGTGAAAGACAGCAGTAGGAGGGAGCCAGAAGTTGTGGCAGAAAGTTCTGAATGAGTCGGGAGTAAAGGAGAGAAGAGATCAGGGGAGGGGGAGGGGAAGGAGAGATGAAAAGAGAATTACAGAAAATGACTAGAGAACATGGAAGGAGAAGAAAGGAGACAATTTTAGAGAAGAACATTTTACCGTTGCTGTCAAGTTTCGAACTCAGGATTTATTGAATGAAAAGCGAACATTGTACCTCCAAAGACCATAAGTGCCCCTAAAAAATCGGCTAAAAGACCATAGTACAAAGAATCATGTGACTTTAATCTGAAAAATGAAAACATGCCAATGAAATGAGCAGCAAACTCGGTTGGTTTCATTTGTCTTTTTTACATATGGGTGCCTTTACATCAACACAATTTAGATTGTTATGGAGGTAGCCGCCCGCTGCTCGCAAGCCTTCGAATAATCGAGCAGACTCCAGCTCTATCGAATAGTGCAAAAATCATGAACGTCGAATAGCAAAGTCAAATGGGCACAGCTCTACTGTGCAGTCAAAATTTCCTGAGACGGCCACCAATTGTTAAGGAGAAAAGTGGCCGTCTTAGGCAGGACTGATCAAAACACAATCATTCTCTTGAAGTCCTAATTGGAGGTGGTTGCAGGATAAGGACTTCCATATTGCCCATTGAAATGTTTTTCTTCTTATAGAAAATCATTGAGTTAAATATAGAAATACTCTTTATTTGATGGTTACGAGACAGAGTAATTAGAGGAGCCAACAAGAGAAATAAAATATCCTCTCGAGACCTCTGAGAATATCCTTTATATTCACTCGTCACACCATAGCTCAAGCAAGGGCAGTTGACTCTAGAAGCACAGCGAATGTTTGTTTTTTTAGTTAGCTGTCGCAATAAGCTTCCCTTCCCCTAGGCTATTCGAAATTCGAAGTGCTATGAAAGGTGACGTCATATCATCACACTGCACTGCTGCGCCACGACAACAACACATGTGCGCTCAGAAACTGGCACTGCAAAAATGATGGACTTATCCTATAGAAGAAAAACAATTCGAAGGCCCTCGAATGGCAGAGGTTAGGTCTGGGCTAATCGTATATAAGTAAAAACAATTCGACAGTGCTTCGAATAGCAGAACTTAGAGCTGGGCTTATCATGTCTTAGTAAAAAACATTCGACGGCGACGTGAATAGTTCAGGAATGTTGAATAGCGGAAGTTAGGTCTAGGCCTATCATATACAAGAAAAAAACATTACACATAGGTATTCGAATAGCATCAACAGTTAGCTCACGCTTCGAAGCTTCCATGAATTTTGTTTCCTCAAAATCGCACAGCACTACTGCACAGTCAAACCTGCCCAAGATTACCACCCATTGTGGTGGAGGCAAGTGATCATCTTGGACAGATGGTCCTATTTGACAGTGTCATTACAGTATAACAACAACGCAAGGAGGAAAGTGGTCATTTGTACAGGTGATTGTCTTTAGCAAGTGGTTGTTACAGCAAATGTCAATCTTGAAGATGAGCCACGTGCGGGACACTGCCAAACATGAAAGTCAGAAGCCAATATTCAGCTTCTTGATGTGCTCATTCGTGAAGATATACAGCTGAAAGTGAACAAGTTTGTTATGGTTCTTCACCTTCTCAAATTTCATTCTTGACATTTTATAGGAACAGCTGATCCACCTTTAAGAAAACTGCACAAGTAAAGTACATTTCCGACAAGAATGTGTAACCTCCCCATTTTGACAGAACATCAGCACTATAAGAAAGTAATCCACTTTGCAATAAAGAAACCTCTAGCTGCGTTCAACTAAATCCCTTTCCATTATAAATTTCTTTGGAGAACAAAGAAATTGAAAGAAAACAGCTGAGTGCACTCTCTGAAAGTATTCTACTGTCCTTCTTGTATTATTTTATTGCAAAGTAAAGGATGCAACTACTCTACCTCAAAAAAGACCCAAAAACTGAGACAGTAGAAGAATAAAAATGACTTTTGCTGATGTTATAATATTGTAACAAAAATTGTATCAACTACTGATTTCATCAAGGAACAAAATAATGAGCATTTTACCTGTTTATAGTATCAAGATAAGGGCAGCTCCTGCTCCTATCCAGTTTTGCCTCTTTTCTTGATACTGTAATAAAAGAAAAGATAAACAAAATAAAAATCAGGATCCCAAAAAAGGAGTTGTTCTTGGGTATTATTTTAGCACAATGGCAGCCACAATATGACATGAAGAGATCAGGGCACAAAAATAACAACAACAAAAAAACACTGACAAAAAAAAGACCAGACAACATGAACGCTTCCAATTCCTATCTGCACCCTACAATGAAACCCACGCATAGATAGGCCCTGTATGCAGGGTTCCCACTCATCAAGGAGAAAAAATGTCCTCTTCTATTCCCAGTTTCCTCCTGGATTTATGACTGAGCTATGAAGAAATGCAAGATAAAACGCATAACAGGACCACAGACTGTCCTTTTTTCTGGGGTGTCACGGACACAGGTTAAAGGACAAGTGTAACGTAAACAATTACAAAGGTGTGATGAAAGAGGTCTTGTTAGGGAAAAGAGGGGGGGAGGGGGGGGGGGAAGAATACTTTTTTGGTTGTTGGCTTTATTCTTGCAAAATAAAAGAAACCGATGGGACGTTTCACAAGCCTTTTGATCTTAATTGTACATCACTACACAACATGCCACGCATTGCAGCTGATTGTTTCAAGTTTCAAACTTGATCCGTTTTTGTTTTTTTAATTCTCTCATTGGTCTAAGTTGTTACCCACAACGCATACTAATAGGTGTAAGAACTTTGTCAAACTAACGCTGGACTTACTCCTTGCTACTGTTTTTCCAAGGGAAAAGTGTTACTGAGCGACAACAAGGGCTCAGTGCAGAGAGGGTGTCAAAGCTAGCTGCACTTGACATAGTGACATAGACTGTTGGGATCTGACTTTTCCTCACTGACACGCTGGGAAGGTGGGAACAGCTTGGGGTAGTCAAAGGGCAAATAATTTTTTTAAAAATAGGAATCAGGGTGGAGTGTTATGACTGTATTTTCAAAACAAACAAAAAAGAGAGAGAGAGAGAAAGAGAGAGAGAGAGAGAGAGAGAGAGAAAGAGAGAGAGAGAGAGAGAGAGAGAGAGAGAGAGAGAGAGAGAGAGAAAGAGAGAGAGAGAGAGAGAGAGAGAAAGAGAGAGAGAGAGAGAGAGAGAGAGAGAGAGAGAGAGAGAGAGAGAGAGAGAGAGAGAGAGAGAGAGAGAGAGAGAGAGAGAGAGAGAGAGAGAGGCGACTGGCGTAGTTCGGCTCGATTAGAAAAGTGAAATAGCCATAGCATCTTTGTACTAATGTAGACTGCCAAATTATTCTACTTTTGTGCTATAACATCATTTTTTTCTTTGCTTTTGTCAATTTGATCTTCCACACTGATAGACAGTATTCAGAAATGAGGAAAAACAGGTCCTTTTCAAAACCGGGTGAGAATAGCCAACAGTGGAAAGTCTCACCCGGGGTGAGAGGTCAATTGTATTTTTATTCTTGTAGTGACTAGTCGGACCCGAGTCCGTGTAGACAAAAAATTATATTCAGACCCTGAATTGAGTCCAGCATGACTTCCGTTCCGACTTCCGACCCTTGTTCCTAAATATTTCCAGCATTTACGAACATTTTTTCGATTATAAAATTAATATCCAGTTACTAGATCTATCTAAACTGGCCCTCCCTGCAGCATTAGTATGAACAAAACGATTAAGTTGAGCTGACCTTGCCGGGGGCAAAGTTAATTATGTCAATTCACAGTCGATTGACCAATAGGACTGCGCGTAGCAATCACACACTCTCAGCTTGCTGGGGGAAGAGGTGTTGGGAAGAGGCCACGACTGTCGGTTTTGCGCGATGTGATAAAAAAAAATATTACAGAAAAACTATAACACACAACAAAATCAAATTAAACATGGAAAGACAAATATGGTGGTGGAAGTAATGATGATGCTGCAGAGGTGGTGGAAAGACCCTGAGTTGTCGGTAACCATGTACTTAGACACTGCCATTGGGTAGATATCTAATGAGAGTGCAGTCTTTTGACTTTTGACACAATTACACAGTTCTAGTAGGCAATTCTAGTTGTAATTCTGATTAATTACGTAAAATCCCCCGACAACAGCTATATTATGTAACCTCCTTACACTCATATCATAACTCACTTAGAAGCTGAGTCCGAAAAAATAAAACATTTTTTTCGGAACCAAGTCCGAATAGATCTAGATAAAACCCATATTCGGACTCCATATAGATAAAAATACATGATGCTGCAGCAAGCACCTAGCGCACCTCTGTGACTGGCCCAAGTATAGATGGCGTATTTCCGCCATCTATTTTTGTCATCTTCCTGGGTTTCTCCCAAGACTCTTGGATTTTCCTTGTCAGTAACTGTTGACTAGATCTCGCTGAGTTCATTTTTTGTTTCATGCCCGGTTACCGTGTGTGTGACACTGAGACTACACGGTGAAAAAAAGGAAAAAAGTCAACGTCATGAAGGGAGCAAAGCAGTTAGTTACCGTGCATGCACCTAGCTCAAGCCCCCTTCCGCATCCCCTCCCCTCACCCCCCGAAACTAAGTACATGTACACGGTAACCGTGTATGTATGCGACATTGAGACTACACGGTGAAAAAGGAAAAATTAATGTCAACGTCAAGAAGGGAGCAAAGCAGTTACCGTGTACCCAGCTGAAGCCGCCCCCCCCCCTCCCCACGAAACTAAATACCCGCTTACCGTGTTCGTAGATAATGAGAGGCGCCCGGTTGCCGGTTAACATGTACGTAGATATTGAGGCTACGCGCCCGGTTACCGTGTACATGACATTGAGACTACACACCCGGTTGCCGGTTACCGTGTACGTAGACACTGAGGCTACCGTACGTGCCCGGTTACCGTGTACGTAGACCCTGAGGCTGCGTGCCCGGTTACCGTGTACGTAGACACTCCGAAAGGGTAAAAGTCAATTATTTCCTAATTTTATAGTAAGAATTTTTGCATGTAAACATTTAACTCACACGCACGCACATTCACACAGACACAAAATTTTTATTGTTATTTATAAGAGTTGTTATAAATCGCAAATATATTTACACTGAATTTTAGTATTTTAGCATTTTAAAATCTAATTGTCGACCAACCGTGCAGTGGACTGTTGCGAATGCTACCAACTTGTGTTTCGCGCGCTCATATGACCTTATGCAGTTTCGAGCGCCGTAAAACCCAGTACTAAACTAAACTAAGACACAATAGTGACCATTACTATGATTGAACGCTAACAATTTTTAAATTAACTTTAGGTTTCTTAGTAACAGCAAGAAATAAATGAGTAATATTGACCACACTTAGTAGAGTTGTGTCCATTTGGAGGGGGGAAGGGTGGTGGTGGTTGAGCCAATCAAAAATAAAATAAATTTGACAAACCAAAAGGGGTCAATTCCAACTGTAATGCACAAAGAAAATCAGACCTGCCAATCAATGAAATCTAAAAGTCAGGATCACCCCCCGGGCGGTGCCACTGACTGAAGTGTCTTTAGGTCATTCCCAAAGGGGGGACATTTCTCGTGCTAGTGCTCAGTAGAATTGTAAATGGGCAGATCTAACAATGTCATACTCATAACTGTGCTGCTTTTTCTTTCCTAATCCTTACTATCGTCATTTTCCTCTACTTCTTTTGTATGTTTGTCACACTCTTGTGACCCGTTATTTCCAGGGTGCCTTGATAGTCAAAGCAGACTTTGTGTTGTTGAAGCTAGAGAGGAGAGCAGAGTAAGTCTGATTCCCTGTAAGGACTTCTCTGTTGACATCCACCCCTTGGCGCTCTTATGACCTTATGCAGTTGTGAGCGCCGTAAAACCTCTCTACTAAAATTTTTTTTAAACTAAAAGTCAGGAACTCAGTGGGGGGAAAAAATCAGGATCAACGACAAATCACCAAGGTCACTGGCAAACTGACTTAAACAATTTTCAGGGATGTGTGTGTATGTGTGGGGGGGTGAGTGTGTGCGTGTGCGTACCCGTGCCTGTGTGTGTTTTACCATTATTTTTTTTTAATCCTGAAGTATCACGTCAAGCTGTCCTAGTTTAAGTGTTTTACACGCGCCCCGTTCCCCCCCCCCCCCCAGATAAGTCCCGAAAGACGCTTCAGCAGGTGTGCATGAACTTACCACATTACACCCTAACTCGCCCGGGATCGCCGGAGAATTCCCTTACGTGCTCCACCCTGACTCGCCCGGAACCGCCCGCGCCGACCCAGCGTCTTTAGAAACGAAAGTCTCGCCTTGACGAGACTCTGGGGCCGGGATTTTGATTTGCATAGTATAGCAAAAAGTTTCTTCTTTCGTTTGATACCGAAACGAAATTTTTCGGGCCAGTAGTTTTAGTATTAGAGCTGATCGAAGTGCGATCGCGTTACCGACACTTCGAAAGTGTCTCAACTTGTTGAAAAGCGACACAATTGAGTTCGAAAACGGAAATAACGATGGATTTGAGCAAAAACGAGCATGTGACAAATCAGATGGCTCAGATTTTGATGAAAACGTTGTAGGAAGAGTTTGGGGCGATTCCGATTGATCAGACGGAGAAAATCTAGAATTTAGATCTAGGGCCCGACCGCGAGGCTGAGAGTGAAAGTGACGGGTCGGACACCCCGATTGAACTAAAGTTAGAACATTTCCAACAGTTAGCGCATACATAAAGTTATATTTTTCAGAAACTACATTCAGTTTTCTTTTTAACTTTTATTTTTTCAGGATTTTTGGAATTTGTTTAGTATTTTTTTAATGTGTTTTTTAAAGGCTAGTATTCACGGGAGGTGGGTTCTTTCCCCTTGCTTAGGATCTAACAATGGACTTCCCGTCCAGGCCCTTAGGGTGTAATGTGTTAAATTGACCCCGTAAACGGACGGTCCACGACACACATGGAACTCGCTTTGGTCAAAGACATGTCACGTGATGCGAAAGCGCGATTGAAAGAGTTTTACTGACGGGTCTTGATGACGAGCCCCGCTAACCAGAACTCGGATAAAGCTTGTTTTGAAAGTAATAGCAGAACTACGAATAATATTGATCATTTGTGCGTCGCAATTTAAACTAAACAGC